AAAAGATGCAAATAATCGAATTTCTAATAACAATTCTAAACTAATTTTTTTATTTTATTGCCTAAAATGTGGTAACAGCATTCATTCTGTAAACACTTGATTCATTTGAAGGATGTATCTGCAGCTAAACAAACAGGAAGTGGACCACAGCGCATGGCATTCTGGGTAAATCCAACAAAGCTAACATGCTAGCTTAGCGCTAGCAACAGAAATGGCTCCTGGTCTTTAGCCTAAAGAGAAATCCTCCAACACTAAAATCTGACGCCTCCATCTTGTTTCCATCTGGTGAAGAAGGAAGTTGCTCTCAGTGTCTTCAGAGGTTTTGGTGTCGTTTCCTTCAGTGGTTCTTGGTGCAGCGCCCCCACAGGCCAAGAGGGGAACAGGTTGGTTTGACTCAGAGCCACAGCAGCTGGAGGTGGAACAGGTGATGGAGTTCTGGTTCTGAATCAGACCGGGTCTACCGGACCATTAGGACAGAACCGTCCTGAAGTTAAAAACATTGACGATCCGACCGTAAAAACGACGTCGGCCATTTTGTAATGACCTCAGCAGATGGACTGGTTCTGTTTGAAGCAGCCGCTTTAAAACCTGCTGACTCAGAACTTGGTGACGGTTCTGCAGAACCTCTGAACCGAGCCTCAGTGTGTGTCCTCTGGTCCGGTCCAGATGCCGGGTTCGACGGGTCAGCCGCAGACGGAGAGGAAGACGGGGAGGAAGAGGACGACGTGGACCCGGCAGAGATCCAGAGGAGGAAGGACCGGCTGGAGAGGGAGCAGTGGCTCCGAGAGCAGGTAGGTCCGACCTTCATCACGGTTCTGCTGCGGACGGAACCGGGTCTGACCCATTTGTCTCAGACGGAGCAGAAAACTCGGAAAGGAGAGGAACCGGACGGAGAGGACGAGCAGATCGGAGACGAGGACAGTCAGTTCATGAAGCTGGCCAAGAAGCTGACGGCCAGAACGCTGCAGAGGAAAGGTGGGTCCGGCCCGGTCCCAGGTTCTGCTAGTTTATCGGATCACAACCTAACTCTGACCTGTTATTAACAGAACCGCCTCAGTCGGACCAGAGGACTGCAGCAGCTCTGAACCCGTTCCAGAAACCCTCCCAGCCCGTCCAGGTGGGTCTCGTCCTCCAGAACCGTCTGAGTGGGTCGGTTCTGACGGGTCGGCAACTGCTCTGAGTGATCCGGCTCTCTTCCAGGTGAGGAGAGGCTCCCTGCTGAGCCAGCCGGCCGCCGTGCTGCAGAAGCTGGCCGGCCTCTCTGAGGGGAACCCGCTGGCCCCCCGGAGCTCCAGAGGATTCCTGTTCCAGACGCTGTCGCCTGACAAGGCGCCAACAGAGCGCGCTCAGAACCAGGTGAGGCTCAGAACCAGGTGAGGCTCAGAACCAGGTGAGGCTCAGGACCAGGTGAGGCTCAGGACCAGGTGAGGCTCAGGACCAGGTAGACCGCCACCTGCAGCCTGCTGAGATTTAGTAAAATAAAATTTAATGTTAACATTTTCTAAGCCTGTCACTGTAAGAAATTAATGAAAAATATAAATAAGCTCATTTTCCATTCTGATATTTTTGAAAGGCAACTTTGTTTGCAGAAACTCAGAATCCAATTTAAGTTTTTATTTCCGTTTTGTTTGGTTTCATTTTGAATATTTGACATCTTCCATTCCAGGGTGAAGCGTTCTGTACAAAATCAGTTTATTGATCTGAGAGGGCAAACATTATACCATTATCAATTTATTACTTGAAAAATGGTCTCATGATTATTGCAATAACTTCTAAGAATTTATTGTCCATTAAAATGTTGTTGTGACAGGTCTACACTTTTACAAAATATAAAACTTTGGGATCTAAAGAAACTGTTCAGAGCCCAAAGTCGGTCCTGGAGGCCCGGTGTTCTGCCAGCAAACCTTATGGCACATCGATGCTACGTCACATACTGCTTACTCAGCAGATTTCTTATGAATCCGTCATACCTGTGTGTTTCTCAGAAGTTTACGGTAAATTGTATTTCATTAAGCTGCTATGTTAATCAAAAACATAAATGATTTTTGCTGTTTCCAATATCGTTACCAAACTGTAAACAAGACATTCGTCCCGTTTAGCGTCACTATTACTACAAACACTGTTTGACTACAAGTGTGGTCGGGATATTTAGTCCCTATAGCTAATCTACCTTTTTAATATTTTAATACTTTTTTAGAAAACTGCACAGAGTATGTCCTTAAAAAGCTGATGAGTAGCCGGATGCTGACCGAAGCTGCAAGCAGAACATCACCTCTTTCTGGACGCCGTGTGGAAATAACTGGATTTTTCTTGTTTTAATTTTTTTATTTTCTGTAAACTTCTGAGAAAAAAACACACAAAATGAAACTCCTACAGGTATGACGGATTTATGAGAAACGTAACATCGATGTGGGCATTACCACGAGGTGTGACCGATCGACAGAACACCGGCATGTTTTATTCTCTCCTGCTGGTAGGAACAGCCTCCTCAGCAGGTCAGTGTTCTGCTCAGGCCTCTAATGACCCATCATTGGATCCAGGTGAGTTAAAACAGGGAGAGACTAAAACATGCAGGATGCCGGGCCTGCAGGACCCACTTTGGACACCACTGCTGTATCGTTTTGGGATTTCAAGTGTAATTTAAAGATGGTTCAAGGGTGAAACATAAGTCATATAATGCTACTGCTGTCAACATATTGTTTAGCATAAAATTCAGAACTTTTAGCATAATGCAGATATTTGTGCTCATTGAACGTGTTAATATACATTTCAGTCACTGGCTGCTACAACAGTGACTGGAGCAGCTTTTAGCAGTTAGCCGCTAAGCTAGTGGGACAGCTAACATGCTAGTGCTGAAATGCAAACACAGTTGAACCTTTTTTTCCACTTAATACATCGTCTACATGAAACTGGTTGATGCATTTTATATGATAAAATCGTTATTGAAATCATAGCCATGTGCGTAGTGAACACTAATAACCTGTAAGTAAACAGAATTAGAGTTTAATCCTCCATGTGTCTGTAAAAACTCAGGCTCCCGGGAAGCACCACCACCCTGTGGTGGAAATCGGTACAGCACCTAAATTCATTATGCTTTCAACCCCTTTTAATTCTGTAAAATTACCAATAAAACAAACTGTTGTGATCACACCTTTTGTTTTCCACACTTCATTTGATCAGTTTTACATTTTGTCATTTAACTGGTTCTGTTAAAACCGCCTGAGTCCAGAGAGAACATGCAGAATCTCCGGCTGCAGAGATCAGCTTCCTAGTCTCCACCACTAGAGGGAGCTGTTGCCCTGCAGCTGCTGATGAGGGTTTTCCTGCTATAGAGTGGTTCTGGTTCTGTTGGGAACAAAGAACCTGTTTGGTTTCCTCATAGTTCTAGCTGTGAGTCAATCTCCTCACATGTTGGACCTAAGGTTCTGTTCGGTTCTGCTCTCAGGTGGTGAGGAAGAGGAGCCAGGTGGATGCGGTGAGCCCGGCAGCCAAGCGGACATGCAGACAGAACCAAACCGCTGGACCCAACAGGAACTCTCAGAGGAGCATCTTCAGCTTTCTGGACCACTGACCCCTGACCTCCACCAGTTCTGATCCGTCTTGGACTCAGACCGGTCCAGTTTAAATGTTTCATCCTGTAAATATTGTCTGATGAATTTTAACCTTTGATGCTGACCGTCTTTGTTTTACAGTGTAAATAAAAGCAGATTTTAAGATCCGGTTTATGTCGCCTCAGTTCCGTCTGTTAGCTAAAACTCAAACCAGACCCAGAGTCCGACCCGGCTGCTAAAGTCCAAACCAGTTCAACTGAAGCCATTTTATTTTAAAATGGATTCACTAACTGCAGGAAGTGACATCACTAAACATTCAACCAATGACCTGCTCCTGATTCCAGCTGATTGATGGAGGATTCTGTGAATATTACAGATAATCTATAGTTCTGCTGCGTTTACAGAGAAACATTTTCCTCCTGGTCCAGCTGAATAAACCTTGATTAGATCCATGAACGCTGAAAATGTGAAGTCTGGAACGGATCCAAACCGGCATTTTTACCAGTGCTGGGAACGTTCAGTGACCTTTAACCTTTGCCCCTGAGAGCACCAAGCTAGAATTACAAATGTTTAAAATAATACTAATACAAAGTAAATGCTATTACACATGGAAAATCGATTTCTATATTATTTTCAGAGTTGCAACCCAAACTGCTTGTTTACTGTAAATTTAGTTTCAGCTGCTGCTACTTCAATGCCACTGCATTTCAAAATCCACATTTTCTTTTAGCTTGCTGTTCCTGTAAGGTTAAAGTCAACGGTATGGTAATACCGGTATGATGCTGGCTAATTACAAATGATGCTAATGCTAGCAGCTATGCTAATGAGCATCTGCTGTCAACATGTTGGAATGGGGCCCAATGAAAACCTGCTTGGACCGGCCCTGGTGAACTGAACCAGTTCAGGAGCGGAGACTCGGCTGGTTCCTCTCCGAACCTTCGGTAGTTTGATCATTTGGACCCACAGAACCCGGAATGGAGGTCTACTTTCTGTCGCCTGATCGCAGCTCGGAGCCTAATGAGTCTCTAATGACAGGCTGCGGTCCAAACGAGCCCTTCATGTCGCTCCGTCTCATTAGGAGGCTCGGTGATTAGAGGGGGGTCCTGCGGTTCGGAGCGGGCCCATTAAGCATCACGAGGGGCCAGCAGCAGCGGGGGACCCGCCTGCAGAGCCGCCGGTTCGACTCAGCATCGATCATTCCGCTCCATCCGGAGAAACCCTCCGGTTCGGTTCGGTTCGCAGGGTCACCAAACCGGATCTGATTGGAGTTTAATAGAAACATTTTATCTGAAGCTTCCGGAACAACTTGCTTTAAACCCGCAGAGGTCAGAACCGCGCAGCCGAACCTGAGGACTCGGATCCGGGTCATTCAGACCGGCTGCAGCACCGGTGTGTGTGTGTGTGTGTGTGTGTGTGTGTGTGTGTGTGTGTGTGTGTGTGTGTGTGTGTGTGTGTGATAAGGCCGCAGGGTTGTGTTTGATGTATTTTTCATGTGCTGAGGCTACTGCAGGAGGATGAGGAGGGAGGAAGGCAGGAAGGACGCCGGCAGCTGATGCACTTGAATGGGATTCTAGTTGAAGGAGAATGGGGATAAAAGTGTGTGTGTGTGTGTGTGTGTGTGCGCGCGCGCGTTCATGTGTGTGTTTTGAGGGTTGCTCTTCCTGCCAGCAGCAACAACATGTCAGGAGGGATGAGAGACGCTGAACTTGTTAAATCTGTGTGATGTAGCCTCTCTGCATACCATACACACACACTCCCTGCAGCCTTCCTGAATGGGGTCGCCTGGCACTGTTGCATTGTGGGTAACACCTACCAAACACTGCAGGTTGAATCAGATGAACCTGGTGATCATGTCTGCAGCCTGACTGGAGGATTTCATCTGCTTGTTGTTTAAACTACATTTCCCAGAATGCACCAGAGGAACTTATGATAGGAGAAAGTTTAATTCCAACAGCAGGCTGAGATCTGGAGGTCAGCAGGTCAGGCAGCGACAGGTTAAAGGTCAGCCAGTGATCTGCAGCAGGTCCAGACGGAGTGGCTGAGTAAAGGTCAGAAGGTCGTCGGCGTTGTGATGTTCTGTGATCTCATCCTGGATCTGCTTCGTGCTCCAAAGTGTTTGGTTTTATTGCAGCTCAGCTGTGACAGAACATCATGAGCTGCTGGGGCACGTGGCGAACACGTCCCTCTGGAAACAAAGGAAGCATTCAAAGTTCCCACCAGAACAACCGATTCCTGCTGGAACCGACCTCTGCAGATCCTCCTGTCCTGCTCCAGCGCTCCAGTTCGGCCAGATCACAGAAATCCCTTCTGATCAACTTCAGTTCATTTAGAAAGTTAAAACAACAGATTGATTTTATTTCTGATATTTCATTCATATTCGGAAAGCATGGGCTGCAGTTTGTAAAGTTAAACCGAAAAAATTAAAATTGTTATGAGAGAAAAGTTATATTTTTACTGTTATTTTCTAACATAAATATTTAGTTTTGCTTCAAGCTAAATGTTTAATTCAGAGCTAGCTAAGTTATATTTAGATAGATCAAAGCTAAAACTTAGCTCAAAACTAAATATTAATTGATAACTTAAATATTTGACTTTGCTCTTTTTGTTTTTTTACAAATGTTTAGCTTGAATCTAAATATTTAGTTCAGAGTTAAATCTTTAGGTAATATGCAACTTCACTTGCTGATATCTGGAAGTGGACTGCTAAAGTAAAAGCTGGGTTTTCTTAAGCTTTTCATAAACTCCTAAATTTAAATTGTTCATGTCAACAAGGGAATTTGCATATTGGTGAAATATTTAGTATGAAAGCCAAATATTTAGCTAGCTCTGAGCTAGCTAAATTCTTAGGTCAGAGCTAAATATTTAGCTTGTTAGCTAAGCATTTTGTTGGAAGGTAAATGTTTTGCTAAACACTTAGTTTGTATGCTAAATATTGAGCTAGCTAGTATATTTAGTGTAATATATTTAACTAAATATTTATAAAGCTAGCTTAGTTAGCTCTGAGCTAGCTAAATTTGGTGCTGAATATTTAGCTAGCTCACTAAATGTTGATAGAACTATTTTTACTTGCTTCCTAAGGATTTTGTTGGAAGCTAACTGTTTTTTTGGAGCTGAACATTTAGTTTGTGTTGGTATATTTGGCTCCAAACAAGACATTTAGTTTGAAACTGTGACATTAATAAATAAATGAATAACAGTGAAAATATGACTTTGAAAAATTAACCCCCATTATTTTTCTCAATAACCAAATTATTGCTGTAAATTTTTGACTCGATCTTTTCTCCTGGAGCCAGCAGGGGGCCGCAAAGTTCGCTGATTCCTCTGCTGAACTGTTGGTTCTGACCCATTCCTTTCATGTTCAGAAATCAGAGTTTTTCTGGTTTCCAAACAGGAACTCTGTGTGCTCACATTGATGTGTCTTCCTCCCAGCCCAGCAGGATGTTAGTCACACAGAGGGAGGAGGAGGAGGAGCAGAGAGGAAGAGGAGGCAGATAAACATCAGCCAGGAGCGCGAGAGGAGGAGGAGGAGGAGGAACTGGGAGGGCGCAGCGACCAGCAGCGGCTCCAGCGACCAGAACCAGTAGAAAAGGTAAGAACCATGAAGACCCGATCACACGGCGAGAGGAGGAGGAAGAGGAGCGGGGATGGGGTGAGTTACATAAGGAGGCTGGACCGAACCCCCTGGCTCGGTTCATCAAACCATCCAGAATCGGAGCGGAGCTCAGACCGACCCGGTTCGGTTCGGTTCGAGTTCATTTGTTCCATTCTGTCGCATTTTCACGATTCTGCCGCAGGATCAGAGGCGGGTTCGCGGAATAAAGCGAACTGAGCCTTCATCAACATGCGCGCTCCCGACTCGGTCACCGTCCCGTCCTTCAGCCTCACGTGCGCGCGCGGCGCGGGCTGGGGGACGGGGGGTGATTGACAGCTGCCTGCAGTCAGGATTAGACACATTTCCATGCGATGATGATGATGATGATGATGATGATGATGATGATTGAAGTGCCCATAGGTCACGCTTCAGTGCGTGTGCGCATGCGTGCATATTAGGTTTTATCTGGTCGTCTTGTTGCTGCTGGATTATAATCTGCTGCTGCTCAGAACTTCAGCGGTTCTGTTCTTGAGCTCCTGACCCAGTGGGTGGTCCAGACGGTTCTGGTTCGGTTCTTTGGCTGCTTTTCTTCTCTGGTTCGGTCCAGTCTCCTCAGCTGGGTTAAATCTGGACCGGCTCCTGTTCAATGAATCCATGCATTGGCCCGGTCCATGCATTGGCGCCCTGCGCCCCTATGAAGTGTGGACTCAGTCAAAGTCACCTCAGAGTTCAGAACGGGTCGTAACGTCACATCCAACATGGCGGACTGATCACTGTTTAGGCATTCTGCTGCTAAAAAGATCAACTACAACAAAACAGATTATTTTAAATGTACAGTAAAGGTATTTCTGTTGGAGAAATGTGTTTTGTTGTGACTTGTTGAATTCAGAAAATTCAATATAATCCCTCATATGTTCAGTGAAACCAAAATTATTTAAAAATGTATTTTATTCTATTTATTTTTGTAACTGACAGCTCATTCTGTGAACTTATTTCATATTTCCAAGATGGCAAAAAATACGCATTAAAATGTTCTAATAATTAATTCTGAGTCTATTTACTAATAGAGACACGATTTTACTCATTAAACCATCTGTTTATGCAGCTAAAAGTTAGTTTGGTGTAATGTGGAGCTAACAAACATCAAGTTTAGGGAAACATACGGCGTATATGAAAAATAAAACAAATGAAAAGACTAATGGAACTAAAATGTCCTTTTTAATAGAAACTATGAATGTTGTCACTTTGAACCAAAAATGTTGCAATAATTCATCAGGAGATCCAACATGAGTTTATTGTCCTCTAGATCAGAGGTTCCCAAAATGTGGGGCGCGCCCCCTAGGGGGTGGGGGGGTGGAAGCTGACTGGATAATAAAAACAAAAAAACATGAACACTGTATGCGCTGGGTTTTTACCTTAGAATGGCCAACTCTCTGTTATTCCTATGTCAATTTGATACAGTAGAGGCTTCCACACTTCCCATATTTGTGTCCTCTGTCACTTTTATCAGCAGTTAAAACTGTTTAATCCGTTGTTAACATCTCATAACCTGTTTTTCCGAGCCGCCTTTAAACGCAACATGAGCGCTAGTGAAGGAGACCTCCTGCTGCTGCAGGTGTGTTAGAATCATGGCAGCAAAACGCAAAGAACTTTTCAGTTTTCCCTCCAAACTAACAGACTGAGGTGAGTGAAGCTGCTGGATGCAGGTAATGTTAGCTAAAGGATGACTAGCTAATGTCAATACAGAACCTTAAGCTTAACAAGTAGCCTGTAGGCTAATGGTGTTGTCTATGTCCAGCTATGTACATTCAGTTTGCCACCAAAGTTAGACAGGGAGTCTCTAGGAACCCCCCCCCTCCCCACAAACACACACACACACACACACACACACACACACGTCCTTCAACCAGACAGCTATTTGTAATCCATGGGGGGGGCCCAGAAAATGTTTGGGAACCTCTGATCTAGACTGAGAAGAAAACATTTATTTAAAAATCATGATAAGAACCAAGCAGCTTTCTATTCCCCTGCCACTAAAACTTAAGTTATTAATTTCATAATAATGTGTAAAGTTTTCCCTGTAATGACTTTCTGCAGAAGAAATTCTAAATAAATTCCAATTCCTGCATTTTATGACAGATTTTGAGACAATAAACAGTTTTCAGTTGCAATTTCATGAATGTTTTTAGAAAGATTTTCAGTGGATATTTTACAAGAAATCTATCCCATCTCTAGTTTTAATATAATAAAATTTGGTCTTCTAGCAGGGATGAAGAATTAAATTAAGATACATTTAATCCTCTGGCTAAGTTAAACATCACCTCCATTTTTATAGTGAAATAATTTTATTTTAGAGAGTGCTGAAATAAAATCACAAAAGCCCAATCTTTATACCAATATGTTAATGTCTCAATTTAAGATCTGAAATTTGCTTTGCATTTGTGACGTTTTGTTTTACTTTCCTCAGTTAGTTTGTGATTATTCTTTTTATTTCTGCTCATTTTATCATATCAAACTTTATTACTAATGTGTTTTGTCATATTTTATTTTAATTTTCTCTAAAGATGGAAAAAACATCAAAACATTGCCATAAATCCACCTTTTAACTCAAGACGTCACATGCTGCAATGAATTGTGGGTAATACACTTAAGTGACGTACGTAAAACTGCGGACTCCGTGTAAGGGATAAGATCTAGAAGGGTGAAAGGCGGATGTGGGACACACTACGACCTTTAACCTCCAACATGAACGGCATCTGAAGGAGGAAGAACCGGGCCGGAGACGGAATCACTCCCTCCCTACGTCGCCATCTTGTGTTAACGTGGCGGTCCCAGAGAGAGCGCCACCTTTCTGCAGACATTTTATTGTCTATTTGGCTTCCAGATTTCCCAGGTCTGAGTCCAGTCCAGGATCCATAGTATGTTCTGGACAAACCAGTCTAGAACTGAAAGGTTCTGCTGGTGCCAGATACCAGAACTGCTTCAGAAGTCCAAACTGCAACAGGTCAACGCTGCTTTGACCTCAGAAGGGAAAACAAACATGATTAGGCAGGCAGTCATAATGTTATGCCTAAATGTTGAGTGCTGATTTTACGAGCAGCTGCTGGGTCAAAGGTTGAACCAAACTGTCTCTGCTGAGCTAGAAACTCTGTGGGTTCTCCAATCAAGTGGGTTCTCTTGGAGACCCAGAAGCTGTTGACGTTACCATGGTTACGGGATACATCCTGCAGAACCGGTTCACTGAATACGGACCAGGATGTTCTAACAGCCAGTCTGTGAAGAACCACAGGGCTCCGTCTGCCCTGACCCGGCAGACTGCGTTGTTGGTTTTGACCCAAAGCTGAGCTAAACGTTAGCTCAACGTGAGCTAAACCTTTGCTCAACGTGAGCTAAACGTTAGCTCAACGTGAGCTAAACCTTTGCTCAATGTGAGCTAAACGTTAGCTCAACATGAGCTAAACCTTTGCTCAACGTGAGCTAAACGTTAGCATGGTGAAAACCAGCCGCTTGTTCTTTGCTTCCAGAGAAATGATTGCTTCCTGGAGGTGTGGCCTCTGTTGACGTTTGAAATGATTTGATCTGATTTTACTCAATCGCTGGCGTTTGGTTGTGACCTTTGCACCCCACCGAAGCTAACCAGAAGCTGCGTCCGCTGTGAACAACCGCCGTGCTCAGTGGAGAGAGAAGTGCCGAGCCAAACGACGTCTTAGAAATGTCTTAGACATTCCTCTTGCTCCGACTTTGGAGGCGTGGCCAGCATGGACTGAACGGCCTCGTCCATTTCCTTCTCTGCCTTTGCCAAACTACAATCCTCTTCAGACAGAGAACGATTCTAAAACAGCCAGAAACTCAACTCCTTCTGTTCGCTGATTGGCCCGGTAGAAAATCCCAGTCAATGGGAGACGAGAAACAACCAGGATTACGTAGGAAGGCGATGGCCAGGCTAGGTCAGACAGCGCCTACCTATGTTTGGGTTGAAGGTCTAACCGGCAGTCCAGAATCAGACCAGTCTGGTTCTGGACTGAAACTGAGAGGCAAAGCAGACAAATCTGTTGATCCGGATGATGAAGAAACTCTGGTTAGATGGGACCGTAGGTTTCAGACACAGCAGAAGCAGCTCTTGGACCCGATCGTGGGCTCTGTGTTCAGTTCTGTTGTGTCTTCGTGTCTTTCAGTGAGTCTCAGTCGAGGTCAGTGATGCTGCACCATCAGGACCAACATCTGAACCTGGCCTACAGAGGAAGCTCCAACAGCTCCCCCCACAGGAACAAAGACAGCAACTTCAACTTCCTGCCAGGTGCCAACGACGAAGCCCAGGCAGAAACCAGGAAAGGAGGCGATGAGAACCGGAACCAGGTCCGTCCTCGAAATCTGCCGTTGGGTCGCGACCCTCAGAGTTCGCCTACCTCCAGCTTCAACTCGAGCCTGATGTCGCCTCGCTCCCGCCTGCCCTGCTGGAGCCCACTGGAGCCGCTCCCTGAAATCGAGACGGGGGATGACGGGTACGGACGAGTGCCGCCGGACGGAGCGGAGGAGTGGAGGATGGAGGAGGAGGAGAGGAGGATGATGTTTGATGAGAAGAAGGAGCGCCAGAGGAAGGAGGAGGACCCGGATGACGAATGGGGAGACAGCGACTCAGAGTCGGAGTTCAGCTGTCGCTCCGGCGGCAGCGTCTCCTCCCTGAATGTGGAGAGTGGAGGCGAGGCGGGGCTCCTGGGCGGCTGGGACCGGATCGGCGTTGGAGAGCCCAAATCGAGCAAGCCTGAAGCCGGGCTGACCAGAACCGAAGATGTGAGACAGAGAAGCTTCAGCAACAAGCCGCCGACCGGGAGTGACCTGCAGAACCTGCCAGAGGAGCGTAACCACAGCGACAACCAATCCTCAGACTCGGATGGTGAGCTGCCGGAGCTGATGGACGCCGTGTGGACGCTGCGGGACCGCGAGCGCTTCAAGGTGCAGGAGATGGAGAAGCACCAGGTGCAGCTGACCATGTACCGCCGGCTGGCACTGATCCGCTGGGTGCGCACGCTGCAGGGCCGCGTCCAGGAGCAGCAGAACCGCCTGCAGTCCAGCTTCGACGTCATCCTGACCCACAGGAAGGAGCTGCTGCGGATGGGAGCCGCCGCCACCGCTGTCGCCCAATCATAAGAGGCCTACAGTGTGATGTCACAGCGCCTGTGTCTCATTGTGTTTCTGATTTCAACGAGTCAAACTCGTTTTTCTGTGTCTGTAAATGTGTGTAACTCTGCTGAACCCTAGAGCTCTACATCAATGTGACGACACCATGGCGACGCCACGATGCCATGACGACGCCATGACGACAGTGACGATTCCAAGACAATATCACGACGACAGGCTGGCCACACTGTGATGACAATCCCAGGATGTTACTATGACGACACTACCGTAACATTGTGATGATACTATGACGTTGCCATGACAGCACCATGACAACAGGGTGGCCATACCATAATGATACCTTGAAGGCAGTGTGATGATGACAACCAGTATTGATACCATGACAACAGAGTCTTGACTCTGAACCAACCGTTCTGTCTTTATTCCTGAACATTTTGTGTTTGTATCTGACTTATTATCCCAGATTAAAGAAGTTATCTGAACTTTGTGTGTTTGGGAGTTTTTATCTGATCTGGGCAGAACAACAAACTGAGGGGAACATGGCTGGTGTTATTTTTACCCCTGCTTCATGCAGCGGCCTCTCCTCTAACAATGGACCCTGTGTGGCCTGAACAGAGGTGTTGTGTGTCTGATCGTCACACGGCCGCTGGTGTGTCCTTGTGATTCCCGTGTGAGGCTCCCAGAGTGGAGATACAAGTCGCAGCGCCGCCCTGTAGTCTCCATCCTGACGGGGTCGCCGGTCCCCTGGAGCGCCCTGAAGGTCCGATCTGTCTGAGTGCAGGAGCCAGGGCCCCAGGGCCAGTTTGGGATAATCCCTGCTCCTCCCCCTGCCGTTTCATAAGCTTTTCAGAGCCGTTGTTCTCAGGCTGACAGTCGGACTGAATTTATCCCGATCCGATGTTCCCTGGCTGACGGTTCTGGATCCAGGCCGAGCAGAAAACATGTTTACTACGGAACCGAGACGGACACAAGCAGCTCCCAAAAGAAGGAACAGACCGGAGGGACGGAAGGATTTCAGAGCAGAGTTTAATTCACAATCAACCTCCAAATAAATCAGAATATGGAAGAAAACGTCAATTATTTTCAGACCGAGAGTTTTTCAGTTTTATTTGAAAACCTGGAACCTCAGGAACAAACCGCATCACAGCGGCTGGAGTCTTTAAATAAACGCGGAGAAATTCTGTTTTCCCACCAAACCCCAATTTAACCAGCAGCTGCTCATAGGCGCTTCGGCAGTAAACATCTTAGAACTGCTGAATATGTTTTTAGGTTTTAACAGCAGAATAAATCCTCACAACCTGCCAGGACCCTCCTCTTCCTCTGTCCGAGCAGTCGCTGGTCTCCTCCACCAGGGGGCGACACTGCACCGCAGCCAGAGCAGAGCCGCTGCAGAGGCCGAAACAGAAGAAAAATGTAATTAATAAATAAAATAGACAATATCCTCTCAAATTTTAAATATCTATATTTTGAAATGTAATGAGTGCATAGAATTATGTATTTTAAGTTTTATTTTCTGATACAAATTAATCTATAAATTAAAACTAAGAAATTTGAGCTTAGAGCTGCAAGATGAATTATATCTGAGGATTTAAACCCGTCAGCAGAGCTTTTATTCGCTATAGTTTTACTGAAAATGGGATTTATCCAGAAACATGCTCCACAGATACACCCTGCTGTGTGCAGAAAGTAACGGCAGAGGGCGGCAGCGAGCAGGGGCTACAATGGAGGCCCCGCATCACGATGAACGGAAACGGCCCAGTGCATGCTGGGGAAAAAAGGACGTTATGAGAATTTCAGATTTCTCTGTTCAAAATATTTATTTTGAGAGATTTATATAAAATGTTTTCAGGAAAAAAGAGACCGTTCTTAGTTTTAAATTAAAAGTGATGAAGTTTCAGAGATTTGACCCAATTAAAGTTCCAATGAATTGTTGGAACTTTCACTCATGAACTTACATTAAAGTCCATCAGTGTGAGGATTTAAATAATTAAATTTAATATAAATAAAAATGATGAGGTCAGGACATCTTTGACAGGAGTTTTTTTCTTTCTCTGAATCTTTTCTACCTCATGTTGATGTTTGAAGGAGATCAAACTGAGCAGAACCAGAACCGGTTCTGTACAGACTCCGGTCCCTTTTGGGACCCCGGTCATTACCGGGGTCCCAAAAAGGTTCCTGGTGGAAAAACTTCAAAACTATCATCATCATCCTCCTTTTCATCCTCTGTTATCGTCACTTAAAGATCTGAATACACAAAATCCTGACGGCTCGTCATTTTTACACCTCTCTGTTTGGCGCCCTTTCTCGCGGCGCCCCTAAGTGACATATGGCGCACAGCCACTTTGCGCCGCTGCTCCTCCGAACCGAACCGGACTGGAGCGGACCGACTCCACATTAGAAAGTTTGTGCTCCTCTGCTGCAGTTGAGCTGCTGTTTGAGCGCAGACTCCCTCTTCCTCCTCCTCCTCCTCTTCCTCTGCCTGATGTGGTGTGACAGAGCGGAGGCCCGCGGCGCTCCGCTGGCGTGGAAACTATCAGCTCTGACAGAAACGGGGTGGCTGGGGGGAGGAAGAGGAAGAGAGAGGGATGAAGGGTGAGGAGGAGGAGGGTGGAGGGGAGGCCACGGCCCGAGGATGATGAAGAGATGATGAAGATAGATAGATAGATAGATAGATAGATAGATAGATAGATAGATAGATAGATAGATAGATAGATAGATAGATAGATAGATGATCACACCTGCTCTTCATTTTCCAATCAGCTGGTCTGAGTCTGCAGGTGAGCTCTGTGTATGGAAGCCCTGGAGGCCCAAAACTCTCCCATTCTGCTTCCATCAGCTCATTAACTGTTAATAAACTGAATTCATCCTTCAGTTTCCTCCTTTAAATAATTTGAACTTAGAGCAGAAATAAAACAAACAAAAGAAAACATAAAAAAAACCTGATTAATTATTTTTGAGAGTCCAGGAGCTTTTAATTTCTCATTAATATCCGAAATGTTTTCCAGATTAAAGCGCTCCTGTTTCCTTCAAGGAACATTTTATTTGATCCCATTTTTATTCATTTATGCTTAAAGTGTTTCAGATCCTTTTGTGCATCAAATCAGTTCATTTACTGCAAACATGGAGTTTACCACTTTATTTAGTTTTTATTTGTAAACAAAAACTCAAAAGAGATGTGTCAAAAATACAAAAATAGTTTCATATTTATGTCCAAAAATACATAAAGTATTTTGTAAGTAAAGATGTCTTAAAAATAACTTTGACTAGAGAAGAACAAAATACTGGAACGTGATTTGTTTCACTTGTTTTAATTAATCTGTTAAAATTATATAATCCGTTTCTATAATTCTTAAATAATAAAATACAGATGATATAAAACAACAGCTTTGTTTTTATTTTTCTAGTAAAATCCAGGAAAATCAAACAGAGACATTTAAAATATAAACATCAGGATGTTTGTTTATATTTTATTACAGGCTGAATTATTTTCTTCTGTTTTATTTTATGATTTTTTTTGCTTTAATTTCAGACAAAAACATAAACGTGAAAAAAAGTTTTCCAGGAAAAATCAAGCAGGAAGTGAATCTGGTCAGTTTTCCTGGACCTGTTGGGAAACCTACGGATCGCCCTGGAGGTCAGAGGTCAGAGTGATTCCAGGACTGGATCTGTGTGTGTGTGTGTGTGTGTGTGTGTGTGTGTGTGTGTGTGTGTGTGTGTGTGTGTGTGTGTGTGTGCGCGCGCGCACTTCAGCTGCCTCGGCTGCTTTAACCAGCTAATAAATGTGAAACCAGCAGGTTAAACTGGGAGCTGAAAGGATTATCTCCGTCTATAGAGTCCTGTGAAAATCCCCCGACCTCATAAAGACGCATGTTGGTCCATAAAACCGCCGGGAACAAAAGCAGGAGAAAGAAAGCTTTTTCACGCTTAAGAGGTTCTCAGGAGCGCATTGAGGGGGTCCTCTGCGGGGCCCCGCCCACTGATTATGCGGCCGCGATTGGCAGGTGCGTGCGCCGGGCTGCGGGGCCGCGGGGGCAGCTGCAGGTCCCTCTGCTCTTTGACGGGGGTAAACGGTGACATCCTGGAACAAAAGTGAGGAGTGGAGTGGGAGTCTCTGACCCGGCGCCGTGAAATCGAGGATTAAACTGATAAGCAGCGAGAACGCTGGAAGTACTAGGCCGGGTCTGGAGTCAGGGTGGGCCGCTGCACTTTGTAATGAATTTAGCAAAGTGACAGAAAGAAGGAAGCTAATCTTTAGACGTGTCGCCTCTTATCTGAGTCTCCCTGCGTTGCTGATGAACGCCGGGCGTAACTGACCCGCGCAGGGGGCATCTCTGCCTGGAAGTGGCTAATCTCTGCGGTCCAAACGGAGTCGCCCCTCCAAACGGAGTCGCCCCTCCACTCGGTGGCCCGAGGCGACACGAGGCTCCTCAACTTAATCCCTGGAACTCCTCAGAGCTGCAGCTTCACCTCCCAGCTAAAAGGGATTAATGGTTATAAATAATGATGAATAACAAACAGCGCAGTGTTTAACCGATCCCAGAGAATCCCCGTCCCGACTGTGGAGCTCAGAGCTGAACACCTTCCTGACAAAAGACCCAAATAAAGAGCAGCACCAGAACCAGAACCATGAGGAAAAACCTCAAAGGGAGACCGGATTTGTAAAGTTACACAGTTGGAAATTAACAGCAGGAACCCATTTATTCTGTAGTAGCAGAAAAAAAATGGATGTTAATTTTCATATTACTAAATTCACCAGTAAGCTAAATATGTAGTTTGAAGAAGTTAATATGCAAATTCACTTGCAGATAAGCTTATTATTATTATTATTATTATTATTATTATTATTATTATTATTATTATTTATTTATTTATTTATTTATTTATTTATTTATTTATTTATTTATTTCATGTCGGGTGACAACCAACATTAGATGAATTATTGCCATCTGCTGGAGTGTGGGCCAGAACATCCATCTTACCTACCAAAACTACATTCTTAATCCCATTTTTTATTTTAAATGTTATAATTCCATTCATCCTGTCATATTTAACCATGTTTAATGTCACACCATGTTTTCTTGCATCTTGTTTTAATTTTTTCACTACTCACCCTTTATTTTTCCAGTGTCTTCTGCTGGATGTTTACCCGCCAAATGCAAAGACTGACAGATAAGCGGAAATGCACTATCAAAATAAAAGCGGGGTCTGGACTGAATCCTTCAATGCTGACGCATCGCCGTTACTGTAAATCCAACGGTAAACGTCTGGATTGCCTTTAAAACGGCTCGTTCTTTGTAAGATGAACTATTGTTTAAGAAAAGACGAAATGAAACAACGACGGAGATGACAGGAAGCGATTCGGAAGTCCCAACTTCCGGTTAACGGCAAGTGAATTTGCATATTAGCTATATAGCTATCTCAGCGCTTGTTATTTAAATATTTAGTTGAAAACTGTGACGTTTATAACATGAATGAATCAGTAACATGGTGAGAATGTGATTGCCTTTAAAACGACTTACTCTCTGTTTTAAGCTGAAATGTTTAAGAAAAAACGAAAAAAAACGAAGACGAAGAGATGACAGGAAGCGATTCAGAAGAACCAACTTCCGGTTATCGGCAAGTGAATTTATATATTAGCTAAATATTTAGCTCTGTTCTAGCTAAGTAAACAGCTAGTTCAGAGTTCAAATATTTAGCTTGTAAACAAAGCATTCTTAAAATGAACAACACTGTGAAAATATGACTGAAAAATTAACTCCCCATTTCATTCTCTTAGTACAGGTTAAATAACCTGCAGTAATTTGGCATCAGAAATACCAAATTATTCCTGGTAAGGTTTGAGTTTACAAACGGCAGCCCATAATGTCCTGCATTTTCTAGATCCGGGGTGTCCAATGTGTGGCCCGGGGCCATTTGTAGCCCTTAAAATTATGTTGTTAGGCCCCTATATACAAGTGAAGAAGAGTAAAAAGAATGGCCAACAAAATATAAAACAATTGATCGCAAAATGTTGGACATTTATGGGAAATTGTCTGTTTTCTTTTAATAGGGAAACTGTCTGAAGCCCTTTTTAGGTTTAGGGTCTTGGAAAAATCACAAAACTAATTTTTTCATGTTTAATTTTGGGTCCGGCAGGTAGTTGAAATTTGTGAGTTTTGGCCCCAGGTACAAAAAGTTTGAAACCCCTGATTTATTCATTTTAATCATCTGTGTAGAAGCAAGGAAACATGATGCTGTACTGGTTCTACTGGGACTCTGTCCTTTAAGCTGGTAAATCTGCGTCACTACCTAACCCTCCTCTTCCTCCTCTTCCTCCTCAGCTGTCAGGACGGTGAAGCTGCCAAAAACTGGGAACAGGAAAATGAAAAATGAAAGCTTGGCATGATAAAACTGGTAGATAATCATCTTTTCATTTAACTTTCATCCGCCAACTTGAATATTCAAAGGCCCATTTAAAGGGATGGTATCTGCTCCTCTTCAGCAGCCAAGGGAGGAGGTGACGGCTCAGCTGACCTTTTGACCCCTGATGGAGGGCAGCGGGCCTGAATGCTCCGTGTGGCTCTGCGTGTCATAGCGGCAGAACTCCGAGGCCCACGGCCATTCCTGTGTGAGCCCGCGATAAAAGAGGGGAGCTTCCCGTCGGTCCTCCTCGCCCCTCTCCCCCCGTGAAGAGCGACTTGGCAGGGTAATTAAGAATGGCCTCTAAACACGGCAGCATGGCAGCAACGCTCCAGATGAAAGTAAATGATTAAAATAATTACAGGCTGAGCGCTGATGAGCCGCAGTGAGGGCTGGCCGCCGGACATCGGGCGGTAATTAGATAATTAATCTGAATGCAAATGATGAGCCCTAACGAAGCAGTCAGGCTGAACCAGCAACAACCGCCGAGAGTGAGGAAGAGGGAGGAAGAGGGAGGAAGAGGGGAGGAACGCATAAAAATGAGAGAAAAAGATGCAGCGGCGGCGGCTGGTGTAAACCAACAGGAAGAGAAAAGTTTCACCGCTCCTGACAGCATCTGCTGAGTTAAAAATACACAAAACAGCGCCTGCATGAGCGAAAACACCGAAATGAGAAATGAAGATGAAAAGCCACCTGAGGAGAAAAACAGCGCAGGCTGAGCACATGCTGGAAATGCATGAGCAAACAGTGGATTTTCACAGAAACGCTCATTATTTCTGCTGCTCCTCTTCCTCAGCAGTGTGGAGGTAAACAGCCTCTGAAGCGGCGCTCACCTGGCAGCTCCAGGGGAAACATCAGAGGCAGCTGCTGCTCACCTGGCAGACAGGACCGACCTCTGACCCGGATCAGAACCGTTTCATCTGGATCTGCAGATCCACAACCAGAACCGGGCAGGATTACTTACACTCGTCATCACCTCTATTAACAACACATGGAGGTCCAATTCAAACAAATGAAATTAGCTACATTTACTGAAAAACAACTTTAGGAGAATTTTTACTCCTTCTGGAGTTCTGACTAAACCAGAGAGAGAAAGAGGCCACCACCCGCTTCTACACCACCCGCTTCTACACCACCCGCTTCTACACCACCCACTTCTACACCACTCACTTCTACACCACCCGCTTCTACACCACCCGCTTCTACACCACTCACTTCTACACCACCCACTTCTACACCACCCGCTTCTACACCACTCACTTCTACACCACTCACTTCTACACCACCCACTTCTACACCACTCACTTCTACAC